TTAATTTTGATTAATTGGTTGATTTGATTTGGGTTTAATTAATTAATTATGTTAAATTTGATCAATTGTAAATTTTTTAATTTTTTTAATTTTTTAATTTTTTTAATTGTTAATTTAATTTTTTAATTAATTATTAGTTTAATTTAGGTTTAATTAATTAATTAGGTTAATTTTGATTAACTAGTTAATTTGATTTTAGTTTAATTAATTAATTAATTTAAATTTGATTAATTGTTAATTTGTTGATTAATTTTTTTAATTGTTGTTTTTTGTTAATTGTTTGGTTAATTTTTTAATTTTAATTAATTTTGTATAATTTTAGTTGTTAATTTGTTAAATTGTTGTTTTGTTGTTAATTGTTAGGTTAATTTTGTATAATTTTAGTTGTTAATTTGCTGATTAATTTGTTAAATTGTTTTTTTTTTGTTAATTGTTAGTTTAATTTAGGTTTAATTAATTAAATAGGTTAATTTTAATTATTTGGTTGATTTTTAATTTTATTTGTATTGGAAATCATTAATTGTTAGTTAAATTTAATTAGGTTTGAATTAGGGTTAATTTGATTTAGGTTTAAAATTAATTAGGTTAATTTACTTTAGTTTTAATTAATTAATTATGTTAAATTTGATTAATTGGTTGAATTTTAATTTTATTCCTATTGGAAATTGTTAATTAATTGTTAGTTAAATTTAATTATTTGAATTATGGTTAATTTGATTTAGATTTAAATTTAATTAGGTTTGAATTAGAATTAATTAGGTTGATTTGATTTAGGTTTGATTAATTTAATTTAATTTAATTGATTGATTTTAAATTTTATTTGTATTGAAAATTATTAATTAATTATTAGTTAAATTTAATTAAGTTTTAATTAGGGTTAATTTGATTTTGGTCTAATACACGTAAAGTTTCTATATGGTATGAAGATAAGATCAAGGAGATGGAAATTACCATCTAGGTATAGACCAATCAATTCAACACTCTACGAGTTCAAAAGCGAGATAGTGATGGGATTGTTACGGGAATTGCAACGGACTCTTGTCCCTTCGCCGACCCCCTCACAACCCGAGAGTCAACCGTTCTTTTCACTACCCGATAGTGGAGAGATGATGAAAAGGACTAGATTTTGTTTTTGTCTTTTAAAAGTTTTTAATAGTTTTGTGTACTTTAAAGCATTTATATATTTATTTGATTTCAATTTATATTATTTTAATTTTATTAAATAATATATCATGTTTTTAATAAAGTATTATTTTTAGTTGTTTATTGCTATCATTAACATCAAACGGTTATTAATTTATTAAAAAAACAAAATTTTTTCGTTTAGCGACCGATTAGCGATAAAAATTAAACCACTTTGCGACGAACACTTATACGATCGCTAGATAGCGATGGATTTAGCGAGCGAGTATGCAATAAATTTTAACGAGAACAACTTAGCAATAGAAATAGTGAATTAACGATGGTTTTGCAACAAATACGAGACCAAAAAGAAAACTCGTTTACTATGCTTTAGGGACAGAAAAAAAAATTCCTTACTAAGAAAATAACTTTTTTTTAACTCACACCCAAGATCTCCTAGCAAAACTAGCCTACTAGGATTTAAATCTATGAGCTCTTGTTGCAATAGGCTACTACCACTCGGATTACAAACGCTTTAGTTCGCTAAAAAAATAGTGATAATGACTTTTGCTACAGAAAATATATTGTCATAGATCCGCTACTAAAGACAAATAGCGATGTACTTTTACTATATAGCAACGGGAAAATCCGTTGCTATTTTTTTATTTTTTTGTAGTGATGACCTCTCTATATATTCACTTCATTGTTACTCGTTTATCAGCAACTTTGATAGGTTTAAAGTTCTTCATAGACCTTCGTATTGACAAATTAGATGGTTGATTGAATCCAAAAAAGAAAACGAATGTATTATTTTTCATTGTCATTAGCAAATGGTGGTATAATAGCATTATCAGAAGCGAAATGATGTCCATGGAAGTGTTTACTGTTTTCAATAATACATCATTCTTTTTTTTAAAAAAAAAATCATTTATTCTCACCTACTACTACCACTGCCATTGGCAGGCTGGTAGCACCAAAATCAGATAACATCGCTTGAACAGCAAAATTCAAATATACCCTTCCCAATAATTATTTATTGCATGAAGGAAAAAAATGGTATCGATACGTCCATATGGCACTCGTCATTACAATGTTTCATGGCCCTAATTCGAAGGTCTAGTACGGGATAGGATTTGCCCCCCGCCCGCTCTCCAAATATCACCGTTAGCAGACCGAATCCTACAATGTTAGCCAGAATAATCAAATCAGATGGAAAGAACGTGTATTAAATAAAAGTAGGATTTTTAAATTATTCCTATTAAATCTATATTACCTAAACTGGATATAAAATAACTATTTATTTTATCTGATTCAATAAATATCCATTAAAAACATCAATGAATATTGAAGTGAGTAAAAATAAAAAAATATATATCTACTAACATAGTTTAGGATATGAATACTTACTCTTTAACTTATTAATACCAACTAATTTATTTCGATTTTTTATAAACATGTAGGAATCTAATAGCATAAAAATTAAAAATTAAGAACCAAAATAGTTTTAAAAAAACTTCGAAGACAAAAAAACTTACAAATAAATGATAAAGTGCAATAAATAAATAAATAATAAATTTTCAGGACAAAAAAAACTTTCTTGAAAAGTATAAGGGCTAAAAATGAATATTTTTGACAAATTAATTTTAGCAATATTAAATGAATACTAAATGAGCACGTAAATTAATGTGAACTGGATAAAGATTTATATGATAGTTTTTTAATAGGTAATGAATATAATATTTTTTTATGGGTATGGTAAAAAATTAAATTAACAAATCGGATACTCGTCCATTATCATCCCTAACTACAAATGTTACAATGCCCTCAAATACAAGCCATTACTCTTTAACTTATTAATACCCACTAATTTATTTTGATTATTTTTTTTAATTAACATGCAGAGATCTAATTGCATAAAAATTAAAAATTAAGAACCAAAATAGTTAAAAAAAACTTCAAGGACCAAAAACTTACAAATAAATAATAAAGTGCATAATAATAATAATAATAATAATAATAATAATTTTTAGGACAAAAAAAATTTCTTGAAAATTATGAGCAAGAAAATTAATTTGAACTGAATAAAAATTTATATAATAGTTTTTTTTAATAAGTAATGAATATACTATTTTTTATATGGGTAGGGTAAAAAAATTAAATTAAAAAAATTAAATTAACAGATTAGGTAATCGTCTATTGTCATCCGTAACTACAAATGTTACAATGCTCTCAAACATGAGCCATTTTCAAAATGAATTCTAATTCTTTAAAATAGATGTTACTTTTTTTTTTTTAACGAGTAAGAATGTTTTCGAGACTAATTTTTATGTATCTAGAGATTAATTTTTTTTTGGACATGGTTAAAGGATATTCTTCAACACACTGCCTTAAATGTTCTGAAAATAAATTCTTAAAAGTACAAGTCATAAATATCAAACTTTAAATTTAACTTATAAATTGATATTTGCTTAGAATAGTGTACTGTTTTGTGGTTAAAATAGATGTATTTTTTTATGTTCGTGCAACCGATTCAAAACCATCCACTATGTAAAAGCCCAACAAGACATTCAAAATTCTTCACTGTATAAAGGCCCAGCAAACCAAAAATTAAGAGTTTTACTTTTTGCTTATCTAACTAATAAAATATATTATTTATTGTTTCTCACAATAACATACAAACTCCAAGCACACATCAAGTATCAGTGTATCCATGCAAATAAAAAACAAAAGAAATTAAAAGCATTTAAACGGCATAGTTTTAAGCCGTGGGCTTTTGCAAAAATAATTCCCGCGCATCCCGAAATGTTCTAAAATTTCAAAAAGAATCTGGGCTAATTCGAACCAAACAGCTTCGTTTCCCTAACAATCACAAATCTCTCTATCTGCCTCCCCTTCTCCGTCGCTGGCAATTTTCGGAGTCGGAGAACAATTTTCAGTCTGCAGTTTCATCTGAGCTTCGATTCTACTGAAGGTAACTGCGCTGTTTATATTACAATTAAGAACGGTACTTTGTGTATGGTTTCCGATTCGTAGATCATCCGGTCTTGTATTAGCTTCACATTAGATATTAACTGTAGATCTATTTTTTTTCCTCTCTCGAGTAGAAATATATAAAAAAAATTATTCGTTATTATCAATTGCTGATGTTACTTCAAAGTTTTCTATAATTTAGGGTTTTGTTTTCCTTTCCTCCTACAAGGAATTGATTCGCATTTTAATTTTCTCCTCTTTTAATTATCTATCAATCAGATTGGACAGAATCGTACTTCTTCTCATAATTATTCCGAGTATTGTGATCATAGCTGCGTTTAGCTTGAATTAGAGATGCTGGTTTTTTTGTGAATTAAGGACTTACAGCAAGTAATCATTTCCTTGGAAATTTGTATACATCTTGCATTCACAATTTGATGTCTGTAATGTTCTTTGCAATAATTTCTGTTATAATGCTGTCCTGACAGTTTGTGCTGATCTGATATGTGTAAGATTCTGTAGAATGCATATGCTATTGCTCTTTCCCCCTCGATCATGTTTGAATAGTGTTTAGCTGTTGATCTTATCGGCTCTGTATGATTGATACCCTCTGAAATCCGCTTTTCTTTCTACTTTTGGCAAACTGTTATCGAAACCTGAAACTTCATTCCAGTGGTTTACTACAGAGAAAATTATTTAAACGTATCATTAATAAGTAACAAATATTACCTGTTATTGTGTATTTAGTGAACAGATACTAGTGGACATTTTCTACATCTTTCTGACCTGTCTGCTTCTTTTTCCGGTTTTTGTATTCTTATTTGTTTCTTCCAATTTGACTATTAATCTTGAACTGAGGCAACCTTATGATGTTTTGCTTGATGCAGTTTTGACCAGCAACAACCGAAATGGAAGGTGAATCAAGGAAGCGCATGAAGCATGGTGTATGGCTGTTAGTCCTTCACTTTCCAAAGCCTTTACTTGTAATGCAAAATTTGTAATTTTTGTGGCAGCATTTGGTTATATTTTTCAGATAGAGGAGAACGGACAAGAGGTCATAGATGGAGCAGCTCTAGAGATTGTAGAGAAGGAAGAAACTGAGACAAACACGGTGGGATCTGAAGAGATGGAACTGAACATTGCTCACATTTTCGAAAAGATTGAACACTTCACCCAAATGGTTGTTAGCTTTCAAATTCTTTTTTCTTTCTTCATATTTTGTATGAAGTGTCATCAATGAATTCCTGCATGCCTCTTGTTTTGTCGTCAGTTGAAAACCCATGAACCAAGGGGAGGAGATAATGTATATACATTGGCAATGTCCCTTCCGTAGATATTTATGTCTAGGCACTCTTGCTGCTTGCTAACTTTTATTACTTTTGATGTTAATTTATGAAGGTATCTGAGTTACTGGAATCAGGAAAAGCGATGTTTAAAGAGCTGAGTAATGAATTTGAAGAACGCTTGATTTCGTGAGTTCTAAATCTTATTAAAGGCATTTTTTGTCGTTGCAGCTGTGGTTATGCTAAGTTTTCTATATTTTATGGGGTTGCCACAGGATACACAAGGAACAAATGGAGAAATGGCAGGAGGAGATCAAAGAATTGAGGTTACTTGATGCCTCAAATGAGGAAGCAAGTGGTATTCTGAATAATGCTAGATATGTACTCCAAAATCCTCACATTGAATCTTGAAGGTAATTTTAAAAAAGGGCTCGTGTAATTTAAATTCACCAGCTTAAGTGTATTTTCAGCAATTTTTTCATTACAACACAAGTTCCTTCCCTAGTGAAAAACTCAGATGTAGTTTGCCTTGGAATTAGAGCGGCAATAGAGCTACACATGTGGCTGTTAGGCACATGGCTTGCCTCGTGTTTGAGCCCAGCTCAGAACTTTGCCTTGAGCATTTAGTGGAACATATTTGCAATCAAATGCCTTGAACTAGGAAACATATTTGCTGCAAATGTTTGCATGGTCACAATGAAAGTTAGGTTAGGAGAAAGTGCTCATCACGAATTGAGTTGAGGTGAAAAAAAGGAAAAAGTTAGAGCAAGCGTAAACTTTACTTGTGGTCGTTCTGAGCTGAGCTAAGAGTTAGAGAAAAACTCAATGTTGTTCTGGTGGATCTTAATTACACCTGCGTATGAAATGGTTGCTTAATTTATAAATAAGTTCATACGAGCCTAGTTGAAGCTACTCTTTTTTAAAGTGTGCTGCTCTGTGACCTTAAAAACTAGATATTTAGTGTTGCTGACTAATCTGTGGCTGTTTATTTTGTCACTTGTGCGTTGTGGAGGAACTGATACCCAGGTTCTAATGTACAGGTTTGGCAATATTGTGCATCAAGAACAGCATAGAGGAAAAGAATTTATAATTACATAGTAGATCAAACTATTTGTACATGAGACTTGTATTCAGTTCAGCTCAATTTTATGTTTTTCAGAAATGTTGGTCATTGCTTTCAATTTCCTGTGATACTGGTGCCATGGACGCTTTATTGCTCAAGTCAATATTTTTTTTCTTTTGGGGTACAAAGAAGAGACTCTAACATGAGACCTCTTGGGAGGAGGGAAGCAGGGTGCCACTGAGCCACGTGACTCATTGGCTAGCATGATCCAGTATTTGTCACCTTCATTGCAAAAGATTTACGTTACATGCTGCCCCATATATGATATTCTACTCGGGGCCTTTTGCGATGAGCCTTCGTTCACAAGTCTCATGAAAATACCACCAGAATGATATTTGAACTGTCGAATGAAAAGCCAGGTTACACCCCCAGATTCTGGCAGAGTGGATGTGCCATGTGCTCTTTTTGAACATGTCTGGGCTGGATCCCGAACAGAGCTGGTGGGGTTTGGGATCTCTGGCCACTAGGCTACCTTACTAAAAAAAAAAAGAAAGAAAGAAAGAAAGAAAAAACCAGGTTTGTTTTTATTTATCCAACTCCCGTTACGAGGACAAAAAGAATTTCCGTATTTTTTGTTTACACAAGTCAACTTTCCGTACTATTGAACTTGTTTATTTTTGTAGCGTATGTATTAATTACCTAAGTTTATATGTTTAGGATGTTTTATGTTATAAAAATTTTGCGTGAAAAGGATCATTTTTTTTTCCAAACTTTAGTCTATTTTAAAATTAATCTCTAAACTTTTAATTTATTTTTTTGACTTGTTTTTTTAAGATTTATTTAATCTTTTAATTTTCTGTCATTTATTATAAAAAAAATAATTACATAAATAACTCAATGATGAAAATTATTTTGAGCTGTTTAAAAAAAATTGAAATCTTTTTGGATTATTTATTTATTATTTATTTATTTTTTACATTCTTAATATTCATATATATATATTGAAAATTTTTGAAATTGCTTTAGAAAATTGATTGGATTTTTTTTTAACGTGTGTACAAAATTGTATATTAGAATATCAATAATTGAATTTTTTTAAAGGAGAGCGGTGATAGTTGAAAATTATAGAACTAAATTTTAAAAAAAAATCAATAAAATCAAAATATAAATTTAAAATTTAAAAATTGATTTTCAAGTGAGTCAAAATTCATGGAAGGTTTGGTTTTTTAAACCTAAATATTATTTTTCATGTAGTCTTCTCTCCATCTTTTTTAATTTTTTCTCGTGTGCCAATTACAAAGTTGCATAACATTAAGCAAATCATTTGCATATGGAATCGGTATTTCACCGAGTGGCGAATTAATTTGGTATCTCTTTCATGGTTCTTGTTTTTGTTAGTTGTAAAACATTCGTTTGGACAAATACGATGAGCAGCCAAGGCCTTAGCATGAAGCTAAAACACAATAATATTTTATTGCTTCACATTTCTGAAATTAAGTTCGCGATTAAAGCAATTATTTACAATTTCCAATCCAACTCAACAATATGATACCATGTGTGAATCATTTAGTGTTTGGTTGTGTGCGCTCACTTGGGATGTCATCAGCCATGTGCCATTAACGTGAACATCCCCCAAGACATGCCATAATGTATGGTACCCTAGTCATAAACAGAATAATTATACATACCTAAAAAAATGATTGACTTGTATCTTCTATCTTAAACCTCTTCTATAAATGTGTTTATTACTTGATAAACAAGTTATAGAACTTAAATATACCCAGTGGTTGCTTATATAATTGCAAGTATTTATAAATGAATTATGTATGTTTTTTTTCCATCAAATTGACTTCGAATAGCTTAGTTGTAGTCTTCCAATTTATTCCCTTGTTAGGCGTTAGTTATGGAAATGTTCAATTATAAAGTTGAGAGACCGTAAATTTGTACCTATAAACAAAAGCTATTGTAATAGTTTATTGTCTTCTTGGCAATTGGCGTGTCAACCGTACTATAACGTACAACGAATCTTACAAACCACCGCAAGTAAACTTTTTGTTTTTAGTTTGGATTTGTCCAAATTCCAAGAAGTTGAACTGATACAATTTGTGGTATATGCTGATATACATGAATCCTATGGGTTCGCTCATGCAGGTTTTAGGCGACGGCAGTGTGCAAATATATTTTTGAAAAATTTGAGATTCCTGGCTAAGTAATTTAATTCTGATTGATATTGAGTTGGGAGTGCTATTGGAAATGCAAAAGCCATCAATTTAGCTGCTGCTGCTTCTTCTTCTTCTTCTTTTCCTAATCTGACCCTATTATCAAACACATACCGAGTGTATAATAAATAAATCAAATTCAATTAATAAACAAAATTGATTATTAAAAATATAAATGATCAATGCACTCATATATAGCGTCTTGAAGTGTCTTTGCACCCGGAGGAAATTCCTTTAGGATCCCCTTGAAGTAAGGTCATGAGAAAGTAAATTTCCTTGTAAAAGAATGGATAGTTTATCTTTGATAAAAGTTGTAGGTAGAATCCACACCTAACCGCTTTTTTTTAAAAAAAATTTGTTGAATCACTAACTTGTTTAAGTGTTCAGATTATAAATAAAGCCTGACCGGCCTATTTTCACATTAAATATATAGTATGGTTTAAGCGGTGAAGGTTGTTGGAAATTCAGTACGGTACTTCCACCGTCACAGGAAGATATAGATTCGTTTTTTTTTTGAAAAAAAGAATGCTACAGCATTAGAAATTGAAATTGAGAGGAGGAGGGGGAGAATGGTAGAAAACAACTCTCTTAAAGTACAAAGATCACTCTGGGCTTTTATACTCTCAATTTTTAATCATTCAAACTCTTCTCAATTTTTACTCGGTCGAACTCTTCTTTCATTTTTTTATGCAAACGAAACATTATACTCAAAAAGTTCAAATATATTAGTCCTTTCATCCAGTTTCATTAATTAACTAATCTAATAGTATCAATCGACTTACATCTATCTAATCAAATACTGACACATGTCAACCTATAGCTATATTTGAAAAAATATAATGTTCAAAGGAGAATATTGTTCCAAAACCTGAAAATAACATAAAAATTAATTAATTATTATTTTAAAATGAAAATAAATAAAAAGAGAAGACAAAAGGATTGATTATTTTTTAAATAATTAATTATTACTTTTTAAAATAAAAAATAATTATTTTTCTTTTCTGTTTATTATTTTTAATTTTTGAATATTTAGAAAAATATCGATTATTTTTAAAATAATTACATTATTTTGAAAAAATTCTTTTCATTTTTAAATAATAATTAAATAATTTTATTATTTTCATTTTTTAGGAAAAAATTGATTATTTTTAAAAATAAAAGATTTCTCATTTGAAAATTACATTTTTAGTATAAGTTGACACTTATCAGCATTTGATTGGGTAAATGTAAGTCGACTAACACAGTTATGCTAACTGGATAAGTGAGTTAGATGAAAAAGCTTGCCTATCCCAATTTTTTCAGTTTAGGGTTTTGTTTATACTAGTGCAAAATATGGGGTGACTTTCAGCTCTCTCTTATATGATATATATGATGTTACACTTGTACGAAAGGATGTCACATAAATTTGGACTTAAATTACAACTTTCTTAATATATTTATTTATACTTTTAGAGTCTTAAAGTATAACTATATGCCAGCAATGCATTGTATACTTGCAAACTAAAATGACTCTTTGGAAAACACTCTTTTACATTCTTTTAGGCTGACTTTTACATCATTCTAGATTTCAAAGTTAATTAACATACAAAGATCTTGACTAATGCTCCAATTGCCATTCAATGATTATGGAATGTATTGCGCTCGGTCAACTTGATTGCACTCAATTTTTTCGTTCTTTTCACATTGCATGATCAATAATAATACTTTAATGAGCAGACGGAAATCGGAATGCCAGTAGTGATTATAAATAGCTGCCTAGTTTGCCATCTTCTTTATCAAATTAAACTAGCTAGCTCCAGCAACTGCAAATAAACCAGCCTTCTTTGTCTTGCAGAAAAAGACAAATGATCATGGCAAGCCTTTCTGTTCTCAGCTGTGCAATATTTTTGTTTCTAAGTTTATTTTGCACACAGTTTCACTTAGCCTCGGCGGCCTGGCAACAAGCCCATGCAACTTTCTATGGGGGAAGTGATGCTTCTGGTACAATGGGTAAGTGCTTAATTATATCGAATCTCTCTCTCTCTCTTTCTACATACTTCAATGGAAAGCAATCGTATATATTGTGACTAATGCAACATGTGAAGCAATTGTTCCCAAAAGTGCTGACTGTTTTGAATTGATGATGCCCAATATTTAGGTGGTGCCTGTGGATATGGAAACCTTTACACTGATGGCTATGGAATAAAAACTGCGGCACTGAGCACGGCTTTGTTCAATGACGGCAAGTCATGTGGTGGGTGCTATCAGATAGTCTGTGATGCAACAAAGGTCCCTCAATGGTGTCTCAGGGGTAGATCTATTACCATTACAGCTACCAATTTCTGTCCACCAAATTATAATCTCCCTAATGACAATGGAGGCTGGTGCAATCCTCCTCGACCACATTTTGACATGTCTCAACCTGCTTTCCAGAATATTGCCATGTACAGGGCCGGAATTGTGCCTATTCTCTACAGAAAGTAATTTCTCATAAATATTTAACACACTTCCATTAATTCTTAAGTCTCGGACATTAGAGCTTGGGATATAGATAATTTTGGCATCGCGTGGTTGGCTTGTTGATACTAATAAAGTTTATTAATTTGGTGTATCATCAGGGTGAGATGCAACAAAAGTGGAGGCATCAGATTTACCATCAATGGAAGGAACTACTTTGAGTTGGTGCTTCTATCAAATGTTGGGGGAGCTGGAGATATCTCTAACGTATGGATCAAAGGGTCTAAATCCAATAAATGGCAAGTCATGACAAGAAATTGGGGTGCCAATTGGCAGAGCCTAACTTTTCTAAATGGTCAGAGCTTGTCCTTCAGAATCCAAACCAGCGATGGGAAGACCCGAACAGCACTCAACGTTGTACCCTCAAATTGGGTGTTTGGGCAATCCTTCCGAAGCAATGTTCAATTCTAAATCCAAATCGTGCATATAGGTGCCAAAGTTACTGACGATGTGCCTATTTACCTTCGTCGTCTTTGTTTACTACTACTATTTGTTTTGCGTTTTATCAGCACTGTATTTTGGGACGTCTGTACTGTCTTGGTCGCGGCTTAGCATTTTACGATTAAGCCCACCGAGTCATGTGATAAACTTGTATTAGCGCAATGCTCTTCCAATTCGTGCGTTATAAATATTTCCAAATTTCTATCTTAGTCTGTACCATTTATGTAATAGCAAAAGTTGATATCTTGGTAAATTGAAGAACTCAGCAGCGTACTTCTATGGGCATTTTTGTGTATATATGTAGACACTTTAGTGGCTAAAAAACTTGGGGATAGGTTGATGGCCTCGGGTGTTGGAGCAGGGTCTGAGATTGTTACTTGTCACCAAAAAGTAGGAAATATGTAGGGGAGTTTTTGAAGCATGTAACATTGGGTTAAGAGCATTAAAAGGGGTTGAAAGTAGAAAAAGCCAAAATAAAAAATGCCGTTGGCTTTTAATATATTTTTATATGGGAATGAGTTATGTATAAAACGATTTCCGTTCTAGACATAATAATTTTTTTTATTAAATGATAAAAAAAAATACATACTTATATAATTTTTGACTATAAATACTAACTTTATACCCAAATAATACACACTAGTTTTTTTTCTTTTTTTAAATATATATTTGCATAAATTGTATGAAAATAGGGATCAAAATGTTTTTTTATGAAAATTTGTAGGACTAAAAGTATAAAGAACCAAATTGTATAAATATCAATTTAAGAACCAAAATAACTCTTTATTTTTTATTTTATTTTTTTGAAAATTACACCGATTAAAAATTTAGAAGCGTGCCTTTAATCTTGCTTTGGTGGCCAATCAAGGGTGGAGGCTATTGTATCGTCACCGTACTCTTTTATATCAAGTTTTTAAAAGGCAACTCCTCGTTCCTCTTTCACTAAGGCAAATATAGGTACAAACTCATCTTGGAGGTGGAGAAATACTTTGATGGATAAAAACGTCGTTCTTGATGCTGGTCTACGTTGACACGTGGGTCAGGAGTTCATCGTTGGTTGCATATAGGATCAATGGCTTCCCACTCAGTTGTATTTCAAACCACAAGTCAAGAATGCTTTTCCTGAACTGGGTTTCTCAACTGATAGATTGCAAATCTGGCAAATAGAACACTCGTATGATAATGAATCTATTTGAGGATGCTAGTGCTAGATCACTTCTCAGTATTCCATTTAGAGAGACTAATTTCCGTGTCCAATTTGGCTTTATTTCTGAACTGCAACTTGAACATTACGCCGCCATCCCTTGTTGGTCGCTACCATCAGTTGAATCTATCAAAATTAATTTTGATGGTACATTTTTCTACTCTAGTTCATTGGGTGCTTCAGGTATTGTCGCGAGAGACTATTATGGTATGGTTTGCGGAGCCAAGGGTGTTTATTGTCTTTGCTTTGGATGCTCACACGATGGAAGCTCTGGCGTTCAAAGAAGCAGTTGTTTTGGCCAATTCTTTTAATCAGTCAATCGTCGTTGAAAGGGTTGCTAAACTTCTGATTGAAACTGTCAACTCTCACTCCTTCAATCCTAGTGAGGCTCATTTCATCCTTCAAGAATCAATTCGACATCACCGTCCTACTTTGTAAGTTTCTTTCGTTTTTGTTTCACGAATTTGTAATTGAACTGCTCATAATGTAACCAAAAAAGCCTTTATGGATTGTCAATCATCGAATAATTCTGACTGTTTGTTAGTCGGATTCGATATTATTTGAAAGATCACAACTTTTCCTTTTAATATATATAATATTATATAAGATGAAATTATCTTTAATACCAAACCCACAATGAATATATTAATTGAACTCAATAATGTTGTATGGATCCATGTAGCAGCCCTAAATATAAAACTTGGACTAAGCATTGAAAAGTTTATGGAACAAAATGAGCCCAATACCTCTCCAAGAATGTCATCACCCATGTGCCATAAACGTATAGCATGCCATGGCATACGTTACCCTAGCTACTTATGACCAGAGAATACATAATTATACACAAATATATTTAGACATCTTCTTCTATAAATAAGTCCTGACATTTAAATATGAATAGCGATGCATTTATAGTTGCAAATTCAACAAACATTATAAATAAATCATATTTGAATTTTTGATGGAATTGACTGTGAATATTTTAATCGAGAATCTTCAAGTTGCAGAATAAAAAAGATTAATTTGGGATCGGAAATAATTATAGTTTATTCTCCGCTTGGCAACGTATTAGCTTCTCAACTGTACCATAACGTACCACGGATGCTACAACGTTGCAGTTTTGGATTTTGTCCAAATTTCAAGAACTTGAACGGACGCGATATGGCATATGCTTGAATTCTCTCAATCATCGTCGTCCATGTTATGAGAGTTTTATAATCCTAAATATTTTCAACTGATTAGTATATAAAGAGTCATTAAATTCAAATTAATATGCACAATTTGTTTTAAGAGCATACCCAGATAGAGAGTATTCAAATATATATGTTGCACCAATATGTAATTTTCTATCTATTTAATTATTTTGAGAGCACCACTAAATGTTGTAAGTAGACCATAAAAAGAGTATCTCTAGCTCATTAAATTAAATGTTTAATTTTATTCTTAAAAAACTTCTACTTCTCTTTTCTGTGATATCCTTAAAATCAACAAAAAATTAAACATAATTTGAGATTGATCTAACTTAAAAATGATATATTTTTTATCACTCAAATACTCTATTAATTGGATATATATATATATATATATATATATATATAGAGAGAGAGAGAGAGAGAGAGAGAGAGAGAGAGAGAGAGAGAGAGAGAGAGAGAGAGAGAGAGAGGAGGGATATTATAACAATCCCCTTGAAGTGTCATAAAATTACTGTGATCACTCAAAAGTTTGAAAATATTACAAAAATCACTTTTTGTACCTAAAATGCCCTTGATGTTAAGAGATATGATTTAAAAATACTAAGGGTATTTTGGTTACTAAAAAAAGCTTTTTGTAATATTTAAACTTGATGAAAAATTTTTGTAATATTTTTAAACTTTTGAACGATTACTGCAATTACATGATACTTTAGAATAGTTATTATAATTTACCCATATTTTTTTATAAATAATAAAGATTTTTTTCCCCATATTTATAGTGAGTTGATGAGATCCTTGTATTTATCAACGAACAATATATATTTTTTAATATATTTTTTTGTAATGTTTTTCAACATCGTTTTAAAAATTTAAATTAGAATGCTCGCGGCGCTCTGTCTATATTTTGATTCTTTGATCATTTTTATTGGATTGTATTTTGTTAGTATTTGAGTAATTTGGTCCAATTAAAAACGATATAAATGGACATAAAAGATAACAAGGAAAGAAACTACAATCAATCAATTAAATAAATGAAAAGTAAGAATAGTGGTAAAAAAAATATATATATTAAGAAATTTCACAGAATTAAATAAAAAGAGATCATTTAAAAATTAAGAGAAATTGTTAGTTATGTCAGGAGTTGTATTCCACACTCTCACAAAATCATGGGATATACCATAAAAATTATTCATGAGTTCTATTTTTGCGTGAGAGAAAGAAGTACAGCTCTCCTATACTAAATAATTTTTAAAGAATTAATTAAAATTACTTAGGTGTCCTTTGATTAACGAAAATAAAAATTCTAAAATGAAAATGAAAAAATTAAAATCAAAATTAAAAAATAAAATATACATAATAATACTAATAATATATTATAAAAAAATTAACATCCTCATTATAAAAGGTGGTCGTGGAAAAAAGTGATGGTAACGATAGAGGAGGAGTTGTGATGAAATAATAATAAAATAAATTCTTTTCAAATTTTTTTTTATCACTATTGTTAAGGATGATGGTGGTTTTAGCAGTGATGATAATAGAAATAATTGGAAAAAAATATTTATTCTCATTTTTTATATTCTAACTTTTCTCCATGAAAATAAAACTATGTTTAATTTATTTTTTTCACTCTTCATTCTCATTCTCATTACATTTCTTTCAACCAAATTAACACCTATAAAATAAAAATAAAATTTTTATTCTCATTCTTATTAATCTAATCATTGTTATCAAACAACACGTTAGTCCTAAATTCTAAATTGTCCATTTTTTGAACTGGAATTATCTCAGGTTCCTTAAAATATTACATATCATAATCTTTTAATCTATGTTTTTAGAATTGAATGAACAGCTCCATATAGTCATATTTCACATAAAAGGAAAGCTGAAATTTTGGAAATCTTATCACTACTGCCTTTTATAGAGATTGTTTGAGACTTTAACTCAGAAACTGAAATAAAAAAGAAATAATTAAAAGAATTTTTTTTAATAAAAGAAAACAAAACCAATTCTTTTTGCAGCATGTGGTCGAGTCCACATATCTCTTATCACTTGCGGTTTAATTTTTTCTTTATGAATGTATGCATGCACAAATTGTCCATGGTTATTAATCGGAATATATTTATTTTTTTATGCACCAATCACCATTGTTCAAGACAATTCAGCATCATGAAAAAGTAAAAGAAATACAAATATTCCTTAATCAATGAATTCACTTTTTTCAAAGAAAACACAAATTCTCTAGTTTCTCTCTTTTTTAGAGATTTTCCTTCTCTCAAAAAATAAATCACAGTACTCAATGTTCATATCGTTGCCAGCTCTAAATAAGAAATCATATTACTCCTTCAAATCAGAAAACATCATGTCGTCTTTTTTTTTTTTTTTGGATAAAGAAATCCGTCCATGACATTAAGTATACAATAAACAAAATCTTTAAAAAAATTTGTAACAGCTAGCTATAAATTTAATCAGTAATAGAAATATTAATGTGATTTGGATTTGAATTTAAAAAGAAAAATCCAACACTATCCTCGATTTAATTAGAAGAAAGGAGTTATTTTCTTTCCTTTTTTTATTAATATTGTTAATGCCTCGTTTTGTTAATCAATGATTACAAAATGGAATGCACTCAATCAGTTGCATGATTGCAGTCAAATTTTAATTTTTTTCAAATTGCCCGAGAATATTTCATATAAATAGCTGCAAAATTTGCCATCTTCGTATCAAAACGGTTGATAGTATTATATCAATGGACGCAAACCTTTCTATTTTCAGTTGTGCAATTTTTGTCTTTCTAGGGCTATTTTGCACACAACTCCACCCAGCCTCGGGGACTTGGCAACGAGCCCATGCAACTTTCTATGGTGGAAGTGATGGTTCTGGTACAATGGGTAAGTGCTTGTTTAATTATTTGTGCAATCTCTATTAAATTCTATATAGTTCAATTGCCAAAAACGAGCTAAATTGTTGTGACTAATGCAAATGCAACATGGAATCATATAACTGTTCGAAAAAGTGCTTACCGTTCTGAATTGAATATGCCCATCTAGAGGGTGCATGTGGATACGGAGACCTTTACACTGATGGTTATGGAACACACACTGCGGCGCTGAGCACAGCTTTATTCAATGATGGCGCGTCGTGTGGCGGGTGCTATGAGATAGTCTGTGATGCAGCCAATGACCCTCAATGGTGCCTTAAGGGTAAATCCATTACCATTACTGCTACAAATTTCTGTCCTCCAAACTATGATCTCCCAGCTGACAATGGAGGATGGTGCAATTCTCCTCGACCGCACTTCGATATGTCTCAACCTGCCTTCCAGGCTATTGCCATGTACAAGGCTGGAATCGTACCTATTCTCTATAAAAAGTATGCTCTCGTCAAGATTCAGTTCTCTTCCATTCTGACATTAGAGTTTGACGTACATAATAGCCGATTGGTGTTTAGTTTTCTGGCTGGCTTGCTGATTTAAATTATTTTGGTGTATCAGGGTGACATGCAAGAGAAGTGGAGGCATCAGATTTACCATCAATGGAAGGAACTACTTTGACCTGGTGCTTATATCAAATGTGGGGGGAGTTGGAGAGGTCTCTAAGGTATGGATCAAAGGGTCTAAATCCAATAAATGGGAAGTCATGAAGAGAAATTGGGGTTCCAATTGGCAGAGCCTAACCTATCTAAATGGTCAGAGCTTGTCCTTCAGAGTCCAAACCAGCGATGGGAAGACCGTAACAGCATTCAACGTTGTACCTTCAAATTGGGTATTTGGGCAGTCGTACAAAAGCAATGTTCAATTTCACGCATAGGTGCCCTAGTTCCTGACTTCGTGTCAATTCTTTTGCCACTTGTAATAGGCCCGGTTGTTTTTCTTAAAAGTGACGTTTTTCGCCCCCGTGTGTTCGCTTTTGTAAAATAGCAGATGCTTGAGTTATTAGCTTTCTTTTAAGGGTTTATTAATTGGAAGATGAATTCCAAGAAAATAAATTATTCTATTATGTTTTGATTGTGTCCTGAAAAATGAGTTCCGAAACTTTTTTTTTTTTTAATGTTTCGTGTATACTAAAAAATGTTTTCCTTGACTTGAATGAAATATTTAAAATATAAATAAATTCATAATTCAAATAAAATGTAACTTCATTATCATCAGGCCTTTTGCGAAAAGGGTATGGTTGATGTTTCAATTTAATCTCGTATTGGGCTTTCAAGTCCAATAATGGCTATTGCAGCGGCTCATATAATCTGCGATGCAACGCAGATGTTTTTTTTACCGTACAAGCATCAGTTACAAGCTTTCGTATTTTTATATAACAGCTCGAATGGTTTCCCTATTTCAACATAGGTTACTTAACCAAACAGATCAGAGCATAAAACTACAGATAAGCCCAATACTGTCCATTTCTTTCGCTTCATCCGTACTAAAAGATTTTCTATCTTTTTATTTATTTGTCTCAAGATACTTGTCTTGTCCTATAAAAATTTGAAAATAATTTTCTAAATCACTTTTAATTGATAAAAAAATTCATTTTTTTCTATTTCCAGCTTTTCACTCATAAAAAAATCAGTATTTTTTGTACTTTTTTCTTATATATACAAATATGTTTAACATAAAAATTTTATTATATGAAAAATATTCATTTTTGTTGAAACTTTACTCATATCAAAATTTTAAGAATAAAACATTTTTATTAATATGTTATTTTTTCATAACTGTTTCACACTTGATAGTTAATTAACTTAATAACTTTTCTTCTTTTTTTTTTAATTTACCACTTTAATTTTTAATGGATTTTTTTCCCATAAATCAATATTTGTCTGATAAAATCCAGGATTAAATTTAATAACTAACCATTTTAGCAAAAAGAATATTTTTAAAAAATATAACAAAAAAAACACTGATATAATATAACAATTAATAACTTTCTTAAAATTCTTAAAATATGTGAAAAATTAAAAAGGACAATTTTTTTAGAACAGAGGAAATACTTTGTACCCATGATTTGAAATAGCTGGGATAAGGGTAAAAACAAGAAGGTGTTTGACAAGCCTGAATTCTCAACAGAAAGCAGTTCATAATAAACAGACAGCAGTTAGTTGTTAAGGAAATGCCCAGTCATTATAAATGTAAGGTTCCTACCACTACGCTGCTAGCTATTTGCAAAACGAGTGATAGGTAACATTTCCAATCTTATTACCCAATCTGTCTTGCTATTTGACCATACAGGCATCTGAACATCCATTCAAAGCTGTACAGTAGTTGAATCATAAGAATGGTTGCTGTGACAATTCCTTCTTATGCTGCTATAAGAAAACATTTTGAAGCAGCAAAGGTTATATAATAAAAACCGAACCACCCATGACAAATAACTTTTGTCGGAATGCCACATGTTTGAAGTGCACATTATCTACGCATGCCCCGATGGCGTTCTCGTTTTCGGAAGCGCTCTAGCATGAACTCATCCGTTGCAGCTTGCCTACGCCCAGCTCCATCAGTACTATTATCAGCTGGTTTTGATCCAGCAGCAGCATCATCCTGCGAACTCCTCTCCTTGTACAGCTCTGGATGATCTGCAAGTGTGTCAACATGGTCAAAAGAAAACAAGGAGAACCAAAAAGAACATAATCACTCAAGAACATCAAAAGATGGAGGAAGCAAATTTTTTGAGAAGGTCATACAAAAAGTAGGCATTTAATACAGTCTACACAGTCAAGACTTGCAAGACCTTCATTTTGAATAGATGAGGTAAAATAAAGAATCAATCCACTCAGATGATGAAAGGACATAAGCAACAGTTAGCAACCTCGTCGCAGTTTCTCAGCATAATCCCTGCCACGTTGGAAATAATCAGCACTATAACTGGAAGGGATGCTAAATTCTGATTTTGGTCTTCCCATTAGCCTTTTCTCCTGTAGAAGCTTTTTGGCTGCCTCTGTTTCCTCAATATTTCTCAGTTTGTATCTGCAACCATAGAAACAATTATTGGGCAATTTATTAGGATTAAACAGTCAAGCCATACTTTAACTCCTTTAAATGATTACCATACACTTTGCATCATGCAGTAACAGCAGCAATGCAAAACCAACCAAACAAAGCAGACTTGAAGGAAAATGCTCCATTTTCTTGAAGCAAATTAAGCATAGCATTGCTCCAACAATAATGAGCCAAAAGAGATAAGCCAAAACACAAGTCACGATTTATCAGAAAACAAGTAGGCATACTCAATGGGTAGCTGAACCTCTGCAATCCCCGTAGTCCACTGAGTAGAGCTTTCTTCTGAGTTTCGCTTTTTCACCTGCGATCATGCAGTAAGAGTAAGAGTAATAGCAGATTGTCCCTGGTAGAGTTAACAAGTATCCCAGAACAGCATATATCACACACACATACACAAGAGTGCATGTACATATTTTCAAAAGCAGCAATCACCGGGAAAAAAAAAAAAAAAAAAAAGGATTGATATTCACAAGAAGTTCAGCATTTTACAAGAACATTCATTGAAGTCGTGACAGAAAGCATGATCAACTTAAATACTTAATGGAGTAATATTTTGTACTAAACAAAGTATGGAACCAAGTTACTCACTTTAAGATGCTCCGGAATTTTGTATAATTCATCTTCTGCACGCTTCAACTCCGTCTCAACTTGGTCAGCTGTATCAATGTTCTTCCCTCTTTTTTTGGCCAATTCTTGCTCGACATACTTCAACCTGTGAATTAAGGCAACCACAACCTAGAATGTTTTAGCATGAAGAAACCTCAAACACATGCTAATATATTTGTAAAGAAAAATTAAGATGATTGTAGGTACATGTTGGGATCTTCGACCATGACAGCAGTTTCTTGAGCAAAAGTGTCTTGAAGAACAAGCTCTTCTTTTTCTCCATCTCCTTCGGTCTTTTCGGTTATTTTAGCAGCTACTGTAGTTGCAGTTTGCGAAGTTGTTTGTAATGCAGGGATTCCTAATTTCCTCTCCCTCTGTTTCTGCAGAAATTTCACCTCTTCTAATGCCAATCTGACATCCAATTAATTAATTAATACTAAATCAATGTAAATCTGAAAACCCTAATGATTTCGAAAGTATAATATTAAGAATTTATTTACCTTCTTTCTTGTTCGTCATCTGATGCTTTGTTATGCTCGTCTTCGTCTTCTTCGAAACTCCTCTTCCTGAAATTTTTCTTCTTCTGCATCGGTCTCTTTATTTTCTTTCACTTTATGCCGATTCTGGAATTTCAATCTCGTTGTTTTCTTAACATGGAATTCAATCCAATTCCATACCATCGAACCCCAAGCTAAACGCAGCGTTCCGTTCTTTCTGTTTCCAGTTCAACGCCACCGTTTCAGCGCGCTAGTGTGTTGCACTCAGCGGGGAAATTGATTTTTCTTTTTTTTCCTTTTCCTTCGAGGATAAATGGTATTCAATTTCTAATTGAAATTGGAAGTATAATTAAATTGAGTCATATATTATTATTTATGTTAATTTAAATTTTTTATAAAAAAAAATTATGCAGATATTTGATACCATGAATAGAGAAAAAAAATGGTACATAAAAGATACTTGGATATATTATCGATAAAGAATAACAACACAAACTGCTGAAAAATAGAAAATAAGGGCAGACATGCTATAAATCAAATCATTTATATGAAATCAAAACAAAATAAACTGAAATTTTACAGTTGTTTAAATTTCTATGATTGTTAGATCCTAAACTTATTTTTTCATGAGAACTTTTATCCTTAAAGAAATAAATAGCTAGATGCATTATGAATAATGTTTGGTATAAAGACTTTAAATTAAATTTTGATATTCTGAAACATTTTGTCTAGGTGATAAGTGTGTTTGTCTTTTATATTATTGTTTTAGAATTGAAAATTTAAGAAGTATTGTGAAATTTTTTAATGACAAATGTATCGGTTTGGATATTAATAATTTTTTAAAAGACATGATATGATGGTAAAATAATTGTTTTGATTTAACAAAAATTAAGGTTTAATTCTTCATATCTATAGATAATTAGTCATAATTATTTTTTAATGAGATCGGATTTAGTTTAAGAAAAAGTCTAGTGATCGATCAAAAGCGAATAGTGTTCTAACGTTGATTTAATTCAAAAAGTAATAAATTTAGTCTTGCTTTATGCAAAAACTAGTTTGAAAATATTCCACTTTCTTTAAATATATCAATAATAATAATAATAATAACTTGCTAAGGAATTCTAATCTTTTTACAAAAACCAACAATTGAGTCTTTAGTTATTATTAAAAAGCAAATTGTAAAGAAACTTAACTTCGTTTGAGTGGAGGCTAATTAACTCAATGATGCTCTGATTTTTTCTAAAAAAAGAAAAATCAATGAAATGATATGCAAGTGCTATTAATTTTAAGTGATTTGGATGTCACTAAGTATATTTTTTATTATAGCGAGAAGAGCATTTTAGTCGATTTATATACATTGAAACTATATATATATATATATATCAAGTTTTAAGCACGTCATTCAAATTCAAATTTATATATTCATAAAATATATATATATATTTCCTTACAATAATAACTGTAGAAAACATTTAAAATGATAACACAAAAGGAGATGCTCACTTATCATTTACCAACTAGAATAAGCATAAAAGGTGATACTGGTAAATATTGCACCAAAAATATGGTATTGTGTCTTATGTCCCACCTAACGCACCAAATCGAAATAAAAGGATAATGAATGCTTGTAATGGTAGCTTGTAAGTCAAACCATATTGGACTCCTAATAATATAGCTTGCCTCATAATTCCGCGACGGTATTATTATTCCTCTCGCTCTTATTTTAAAATACAGCAAACATCAACTGACATCCGCTTCAATTCGTAAAATAAAAAAGAAGACACATAATCACAAATTTCGAGTTATATCGATATAGAGAGACTTCATCATGCATAATAAAAAAAGAAACAAAATTAGGACTTCTTAGGGGCAAGCTTGGCTTTGATCTTGTCAATCTCCTTGGTGCCAACTTGAAAAGCTTTAGTCAAGACATTGTCAGGAACTGCTGGGGTTGAAGCAAACAATGTCATGGCAATGGACTGAGTACCAGGCAACTGACTATTGAATGCTGAAATCACTGAGGCTCCCTTGTCACCATTGTTCTTCTGGAAATGAACTAGACCTCTGGGGAACACAAAGATTTCGCCTTTCTTGACAGCCTTTGAGATCAACTTGTCCGCAGTGGTAATGAAACCAACATCCAATTCACCTTCCAACACAAAGATCATTTCAGTGGCTCTGGGGTGAGTGTGAGGTGGGTTAAGGCCATCAGGTGCATAGTCAATACGAGAAAGTGACACGCCTAGTGTGTTTAGGCCTGGAATTTTTTCAACATTGGCCGCTGTTACAAGTGAGCCTACCGAATTGTTCACTTTTCCTGGTTTGGCTAAACCGGCAAAGAAAAAATCAGCTTCTGTAACATTTGCCTCTGCCTTGCATGTAAACCCATTCACTTTAATTCCTGCAAATTAATTAATTTATCGCATTTAATAATGTTGGTCAAGTCTTTGTACGGAGACTATGCATGGCAGTGTTCTAAAAGAAGAAAGAACCAATTTTAAACAAAGCTACATGAAACATACCTGCTGAAGGATTAGCCACACAGATGTCTTGAAGCATGTCAGGATCATATGCAAAGGCGCTGGAGATGAAAGTAAAGATGACTAGATATGCAACAATAGCTGCCATTTCTTGCAATGGAAAATGGCGGTACAGAGTTTTTTTTTTTTTTCTGAGAATAAGACTTAAGTTCTTATGATGCAAATGAAGAACAGGTTCAGTTCTGGTCTAGATGTGGAAGGAGTAGCAATATTTTATAGTCTGTGTCTGAGCATAAGTAAGTGATTTTAGAAATGGTTGTTCGGAGAGAGAGACAGACGCGACAACATAAACATGGAAAGTAAAGGACCTTCAACTTAACTGCAAAGCAATTTTAAATGCACGAAAAGATTTTTTATATTCTATTTAAGACCACAATTAGTATCCGGGTTTTTTGTGGGTCAAAGAAATTAATTAAAAAGGAAAATAATAAAACAAATGCATGCCTCAATTCGCGTCTAAATTAATTAACCTAGGACGTACAGGTTATTAATTGTGAAGCGAAAAAGAAAGCTTTCAAAGGTTAGGTGATAGATGGGCAAGGCTTAAAGAGAGAGAAACCTGCAAGTTTTGGGTCCATAATACATGGGAATGGGAGAGTCAAAAAAGGCCTAGTACGAGCACCGAACCAGAAACAAGGTAATTGGGCCCTTGAGATGGGACAGCTCTACCACCGCACTTTAGTTTTATCTGCTTTTTTTCTTTTTCGAAATTCAAATGTAGCTTGATAAATCATTAATTAATCAAAAAGGGTTTGGTTAATCAGCCCTGTTTCAGTGGTTGAATGGTCCAATCTACGAAACGAGGACTTTCAAGCTCAGGTTCTCTGTCGCCTCTGCTCATGTAGGCTCCTTTGTCACTTGCTTTCCATAAAGTAACCTGAATAATGTCCATCCTTATGAAACAGAAAAGGTAATGTTAAAGTAAAAACTTGCTTCTTGTCTCACATAAGTTCTAACAATAAAAATGTAGGTAGGAGAAGTCTTTCAAGAAATAACTATACCCACAAGCCTTAAAAAATACTAAACGCTCACAACAAATAACAATTATTATCTAATAAGACGCCGGTTATCTTGTTTTCAGTCTATATTGTCAAGTTCAGTTCTCCTTAATATACCTCCTAAAGAAACACTTGACGGTAAGTAAGCTTATTGCTCTTTGCTCACATTATTAAAGCCGAAGGGATTAAGGAGGGCAACGCGAAAAAAAAAAAAAAAAAAACAATATAGAACATGGACATTGGGGAGTGGGGGAGTCCAGCTCAGGAGTTCGGGCCTTCGGGGTGCCTGATGAATATTTCCATAAGTGCCTTATGCCTCTAGCCAATCTGTGTTGCCACAAACTGGAGCCATAGCAAATGGGTCGGCGAACTATAAAAACCCATCCAAGACCACATACAGAGATATCGCAAGCGGCGGAAGTTTACGGGGAAAGTCTATTAGGTTATGAAGACAGTTCAAATTTTTTATTTTCATTTTTTTTAAATGAAGCTATCTTGCATGCAATATACATGTGAGATTGAGAGTAATTATTTGTGAAGGACATGATGAAACCCCAACATCATTCCATTAGAACATTTAAAAAGTGGAAACTAAGTGAAGGGAATAGAGGTATATCCATTGAAACAAAGTGAGAAAGTGTTAATTAAAGGATGCCAATAACATAAAGAAAACCTCCTTTTGCATCAACGAAAATTTAAAAGGACCCAAAAAAAGCGATCAATATAAACCGGGCTTCCTCTTCCTAGCTTTCAAATGCACAATAATACAAAGGCCGTTTCAGGAGCAAAGTTTGGTGAACATGGGAATTGAGAAATGAACAACATAAAAAACCAGGAAAGGATTAAGGAGGTGAGGTTGGAATAGGAGTGCGGGAAATAAATCTTCAATCATCTTCTATACCATTCCAAGGAGAAAAAAGCAAAAACTGACGAACTTTAATGATGAATGAGGCATACAAAGTAACCAGATACTGGACGGTGCATTTGATTGCAACATTCTAGCAGCAGGAGCTGGTCGCCTTTTGCCCTCGCTTAAACTATTACTCGGTGAAAAATGGAAATGATTGGTGGAAAAAATTATATCCCAGAGAATGTCAAGACTGATTTCTAAATTCTGAATTGCATAGATGATTACCACTCCCTTGAAAATGTTTACACTGTTGAGGCAATATGCGTAAACTGAAAACAATTATCCAGAGGATCTCCAAATCTCTCCTCCCTCTAGAGAAACCACCATAACAGAGACATCATCATGATATTTACGTCTGTCTCCATGAGGAATATCAAGCAATTCATGAAAATCCATTCCTGTAACCACCAATAACAGACGATCAGAAAATTTCTGAAGACTTAAATCTATAGTAGAGGAAGTATTGATTCCAAACTCGTACACATAGCAAAGGTATAAAAGAGATTTTTATTTCACTTGAATACCTATGTCAACACAAAGATCTAACAGAGTGCACTTTTCCTCAACAACTGTAATTGAGAATTTGTGATCAAAGCAAAAACTGTACAGAATTCGGACATTCTGCCTTTTCAACTGAAAATATGGCAGCCAGCCACAGCACTGGTGATTTAATTAACCATATCAGGTGACAGTTTAGTTATTGAATAAAATGAACTCCTGAGAATTGATGCAGAAGCCAAGCCAAAGAGTTTATGCCAGATTTTCAAAGTAGGTCCTGTCTTTAACAATTTAAGGTACAGTATGAATTTGTTTTTCTTTTCGCTGAATACATATACATTGACTCTATCCTCAGATCACACCAACCAGTCAAATACTGTTTTACAGAGCTCAATTTTTGACAATCACAAAGAAAAAATAAAATAAATAAATAAAAGAAAAGAAAATTAGAAAAACTACAGGACTACAGAATATTATTTCCTCACTAGGGGAATGGCCTTGGTAGATTAAATTAGCAAATTGGAACATCAGATAGAAATGTTACCAAACCTAAAATTCCTAGAAGGCACACTTCCTACCACTTCCATCCCATCAAAGCATTTGAAAAAAAAAAAACAGTATGAAATTAAAAAAAGACAGGTAGGAAGTTTATTCAACTAACCATTCTTTTTGGCAGCACGGAAGAGGAGTTCTGCAATGAGATACTGTGCAGGATCACCTTCAGGGACATTTTCCATGAACCATGTGACATGAGCAACCACCTCTTCATTGCTGAAGTACTGGTAAAGCCCATCAGAGGAAAGAACTAAGAATCGATCGCTTGAGGAGAGTCGGTGGTGAATTACGGAAGGGATGCAGCTCACATAGGGATTGGTTCCCACATAATCAATCCGAAAAATCTCTAGCAGAGCTTCATTACAAGCTGGCTGCAACCAGCATCCAAAAAGGTTAATTAACAAAAGAATAAACAAAGCAGCCATTGTGTAAAATTAGCAAATGATACAGACATTTATATACATGATAACCAGCATCCGAAAAGGTTGATTAACAAAAGAATAAACAAACCAGCCATTGTGTAAAATTAGCAAATGATACAGACATTTATATACATGATAACCAGCATCCGAAAAGGTTAATTAACAAAAGAATAAACAAATCAGCCAATTTGTAAAATTAGCAAATGATGCAGACATTTATATACATGATTTGCTAAAAAAGGAAGGTTGTTGGCAAAAGTAAAATCTCTAGCAGAGCTTTTCATTACAAGTTGGCTGCAACCAGCATCCGAAAAGGTCAAATCAACAAAAGAATAAACAAATAAGCCAATGTGTGAAATTAGCAAATGATGTAGACTGTTTACATATGAGATTTGCTAAAAATAGAAGGTTGTGATCAAAAGTAAATTACTGGGCATAAAGCCTTAATTTTGGTGAATGACACCTTCTACAAAGAGAATACTTAAACCAGACCAAGAATAACTTACTCAAGCAAAGGTTGAAGCTCATTTTCAAATTTAACTGAATGGTATAGAGAATAATTATCAATGTGCAAACTGCAGAACTCACAATGAAGTATGTAACCAAGTGTTTTTGGAAAAGTTCTCAAACTTCACAGATTTCGCATCCCCTCATCAACTGAAATGCTATGATGCACTACAAATAACTTGTCAAAAACACTTGTATTCTCAATCCAATCATGCATATCATCTCAACACTCATCCTGTACTCCCTTGTTTCAACAATCAATATGTCGATATATAGCTTCTTGATTGTCAACATGATAGTAATAATAAGGAAGGCCCCCTCCCCCAACACTTCATAATCCTGCCAACTTTTTGATGTCTGCAAGATATGAATTCTCCACGAAAATCTAACCTGACAGATGTACTTCATCGTCATCACTGTGGGATTGCAAATACTAATTTCAATCTTCCTCCAAATACCAAATCGCATCCGGCGACTCGAGTTGATCATGCCATCACTATAGTGCTCTGATCTGACTTTAAAATTCTTGTCATGATGAAGATTCAACACACTTTCTGGCCTAGACCAGCAGGCCTATCTTATCACATGAACAATCTAAAATTCATATAAAACGTTACTTGCCAACCTTACGGCTTTACCCAAAAATAAATAAATAAACCAATACAGCTCTCTCGTCTTTCTACAAACCTGCCTACCAAAGTGACATTTAAATCCTATTTAAAACTCACTGCTCACCGGAAGTCCATCTCCACCACCATTACGTAATCCAAAGAGCCCCAGCTCCAGATTATAAGATGACAAAATTATGCAGTTCCAAGTAAATGATAAAACGAAAAGCAATTCCAGAACCAAAAAAAAAATATATATATATATATATATATATATATATATATAGCTTGGCATCATGGATTGCTTTTCTTTCTTTCTTTATTTATTTATTTATTTTTTTATTCAACATAATGCATTGCAATTATTCTTAGACAGGAGAAGACTTAAAGACACATTCCCCCAGTATACAAACTTGATTGAACAGATACTACTGAGGCAAAGCTCAGCCATAATTGACAAAGTGACCCCATGGCAGATACTGACCCAGGTTATCATGTATAGAACACCGAATTGGGAAGACAGAGCAAAGCAGAAGACCCATGGCATTCAAGTTCTGCCAAATCAAGCATTTATATAATACTTTGCATAATCCTAAATTATTTCACCACCAGATCATCATGATTATGAGAATGGGCTCACTGCTACGTGGAAGATTAGAAAAAAAAGATAATTTTGTGGTCGCAGAGAGGTTGCACATATCAACTCGAAATGGTCTTATTAGCTTTCCTGGTGTATGTTAAGCTAGCTAACAGTCACCAGAAACATATATAAAAAAAAGAAAAGATAATGGCTTATAAGACATTACATACAAATCAAATATGCATGCACACACATATGTAGTAGGACATTCAAGGAAATATTTCAGCTTCTGCATTTCTCTTTAACAATGTGTTTACAGATCCAGCTATAATGTTCTTGCCTTCAACAGTCAACTATCTAGTGAAAAGAAGAATGCGACACATAGATGGAAATGTTTGTGTGAACATTTGCGGACATGTCAAGTTAAAAATTTATCAAAACTGAAGAATAGTTAACAAATAGCAATTTGTGTTTCCGAGATTTTTTAAAAGCTCAAAGTACCTAGAGAAATACAAAGGCTGCAACAGTGACTGACCTTCTTCAAAAATCCAGCACCGAAAGCTCTGGTTACTTTCAGTTGTCCCTTCACTCGATCGTTTAAAATCGCTTGGTTGTCATCAGGATGTTCTGCCTTTATTCTAAACACTTCCTGAAGCAAGCAAGAATGCAAGATTAATTTTCAATTACAGCATAACATGATCATTGCATAAATTCTTTTTCACCGATCCGTTGAATGTTTTAATGTTTGAAAATCCTTAAATCACGTAGCATGTGCTTGAAATGATATTCACCAACAAACAGTTAGGCAATTGATTGGTAGAAATTTTAGCTAAAATCATTCAGATTTTGCTGCACCAAGGCATGTATTTGGCAATACAATACCTTTGCTTCACATCTTTCAAGACCAGAGAAGGAAAGTGACCAGTTGTTTAAGCAGATGGGAAATCACTGAAACTGTCATGCGTATTCTATCCAGTTATTACTCAAGATGAATAAATACATGCTGGAAAATTTCAGGTTTATTCTAACTCATGATGCAATTGATGCATGGTACAGAAAGTGAACATACAAAAGTCAAAAATATAGATAACCATTTGTGGAACACTCACAATAATAACCATACTGAAAATTTCAAGAAGCACACCTCTTCAATACTCGTGCTGTGATCAATTGAGAGCTGGACTGCCCTCATCTTCAATCTGCAAATGGAGATCTCTCTATTCTTGTTGATCATATTAACCTGACTGTTATGATTATGCATTGGAGACTCCTCTGAAATTCTGTCCAGCTCCATGCGTACTAGTGACTCTCGGGATCTGTTCTTATACCTCATGTCATCCTTCGCCAAATTTGGATTAGGATGGCGGTCATTGGGTCGTTCTTGTGCTAATATTGCACGGCTATCCCCAAGGTTCATGACATACACATCTTGACCCTTCATTAACATCACTAGAACACATGATCCCATCAAAGCAAGCTCTGCATTTTTATCAAGGTCCTTTTCCACCATTTCCATATATTGCTCTTCGGTGTGTTGAAGTGCCCGAGCCATTGCTCTCAAAACTGCATCATGATCAACAAGCCCTGATTTCCATCTCCTAATAGGCCCAGAGGGTTCCACTACTCTCTGATCAGCACAAATCTCCTCTCTATGCCAATCATAACTCCAAGGAAAGAGTTTTTTACGCAAGGACTTCTGCTTCCGATACATTTTTCGGATCTTTGAGCTGATAATAGACTTTCTTGTACCCTGTCTTTGAACAGAAACAGAAAGATCAGTTCCACCTCCCTGATTACCAGAACCAAGCCCAATCCCTCCATCTTCTCCAGATGTAGTGGGATCTTCGCCTCGATAATTAAAACCTTCTCCTTTGCAGTTATCCAATGAGGAAGATCTTGACTGTTCTTTTCGCAAAGTTTGATCAAAATCCAAAGCATCTGAGCTTGGTTGACAATTCCATGATCTGCTTCTTTGGTTGTTAATCACTGAGATTGATGCAGAACCTGAACCTTCACATGATTCCATCTGCAGCAGCTCATAAAGCCGCATGCTTTTCCTTCCTTTGCCAGTCAAGATGGCAGTTGGAATAGAGGCAGAAGCAGAGCCTGAGCTGCTCGGAGTTTCACAATTAGATGATTGCCGTTGACTGGCTCTAACATCACTTTCCTCCACTATCTCACAATTAGAACATACACCCCTGACATCTCCAGGATTACACAATTTGTTTAAACTGCAAGAAGTTATTTGACTCGATTTGGGCTGCTCTTTCTTCCGGCACTCTGAACCAACCTCAGCAATTCCACTCTTGGAGAGTTCAGGTTTTATTGGATCAATGGAAGATTTATCTTCATAATCCCACAGCAGTCCTTCTAACTCCCTGTCTATAGCTCTATGAAGATGGCTCATCAGAAAATCTGGTGCATCTGGACCACTAAAGCCATCATATATCCCAATAAACAACCATCCCTGCTCATCACAAAGCACGACTTGAACCCTGTCTTCCCCAGCCTTGCCATGAGCCCATTGTAAGTTGCGAATGTTGACATACTCGCCTTCTGATGGCCCTCCTTCAAGATAGTTCCTTGAGGCTTCTGTCCGAAACTTTGGCTCCCTAACATGCCAGGCCAATTGGGTCACTGGGTGCAGAAAAAACCTCTGCATCCAACCTGAACCCATCGAATGTCTTGAGAATGTTCGTGATATAGTGTTTTTCATAGGTCCACTCACACTTCTCACTAAACGCTGGAAGCGGGGTCTTCGACGACCACATGCAAGTGGAGCAGAGAAATTGGATTTGTCAGTAACATCAAGAGGACCTGACATTACCCCCTTCTCAATTGGTCCAGACATAAAACCACCACTCTTATCTAATGGACCTGAAGCAAATCCTCTCTCAAGAGGACCAGACATAAAGCTATTCAAAGGTCCAGAGCCACGAGGCACTGGCTGCAAAGGAATTGCAGCAAAAGAGGAGGTGCTCTCGAATGAAGCAGCTGGCTCTTGCATTTCACTGGCAAGCAATGCACTCTGGTTACTCCTAGCAGTTGAAACATTGGCACTAACTGATGCCCCCGATATTGTTTTAAATGTGGTTTCAGGGAAAGTCTTGTTTGGTCTATGCAAACCCGATGGCTCATCTATAATATCATGTCTAAACGACCCACTCAACGTTTCAGAATCCAGAGTGCTAGAATCAACAGTAAACCTCTCAGAGTTTGAGGGGGTAATGGCAGGAGAGTCAAAAATAGGCGGCCTAACATAGCAAAATGAATGGCCTAATCCTTCATCCAATGGCTCTAAAAACTCTAAATCAACACCATTCTTGCCATTAAAAGCGAAACAACCCACGACACGAGAAGTGCCGTTACCCATTTTGCAATATAGACCTCACAAAAAAGGCTTACAAGACCTCTTATATGGAGGGCTTATCTCACTTTGCACCATAAGCACATACAACATAAAGAAACTCAAACAAAATCCGAAAACCCCACGAAACCTCCCAACCACCTTATAACTTTTCAAGTATGTACACATCGTCAAATTATCATACTCCAAAGGCAATAAAAACCCAAAACCCCTTGTGTCTGATAAACTATTAATATTTAAACCATAGCATAAACCCACTAGTATGACAACGAACTGAATTACATCATCAAGAAAATTATACAAATTGATAGAGATGAAGCGTGAAATGTGATGATCTAACCTTGGAAGGGAGAGTTGAGCTTGAATAAAGCAGTGGATCGAGTACAGCAGCAAACAGATCTAAGAGAGATGTCTTAAAAGAGACAGTAGATGGAACACATCAGGTACAAAACCCATTAAGTACTAGACTAGATTTTTTCTCTTTTCTCGTAATATATGGAATCTGACAAAGTCCCCAGATGAAAAACCAAAAGCCCAGATTGATTTTATCCCTCATGATTCAACCATGCAAAGTATTTGTATACAATAGCAAAAAAAAAAAGAGGCAACTTTTAGAGTTATGGATGGAGATTGTGGAGAAGCAGCAAGAAATAGAGAAGGGAGGAAATGTGGGTTTTTGCTGTGGTTTTATTAGCAATCGAGTGTTAATTAAAAAAATAAGTAAAAATTTGGGATTTGGTGTGATGATGAGGAATCAAAGTTTTGAGTTCATCAAGAAGGGGGTCTCTCTTTCTTGGGGTTTTCAAATGGTTTGGGAGGGTAAATAAATAAATACGAATGAAATTAAAAAAAAATGGTTTAGCTGAGTTGAAAAGTTGAGAATTGAGACTGTTATTGCTGTAGTACTACTACAATTGGATTTGTTTTTTTTTTTTCCTTCTTCTTCTTTTTCTGGCAAATGATTGGTTGTGTGTTGGTGCTGTTGGAGTCAATAAAACTGGCACTGCACATCATCAACATGCTCATCAACAAAATTAGATAATGGGAGGGGGGTAAGTGGGACCCTATTTTAAATTTTGAAAAAAATAATTATATTGTAATTCTAATTGATGGTTTTTTATAAAAAAAAAAAAAAGGTTAAGATAAATGACATATTTGTTGGAGATACCATTACAGAAGTACTAAAGAATAGAGATTGTAATCTACAGAAGATATTAGAACAAAATCTATTATGGTATTTGATGTGTGTTTGTGTTATTTTAGAAGATATCATAAGAACCTCTTTTTTGGACTAGATACAATGTCAATCTAATTTTAAATGCCTTTATTTTTTTATTTTATTTTTTTAATCAGCATGACATGTGTAGGGTTCTTAATCATTTTCACAAAGAAGAGTCTGGTTACGATTTTAATTGATATTATTGGTAATATACAATCTTTTTTAATTCCATTTATTTGATTCTTTCCGATTTAATTCAAAATTTGTTCTTCCCGTCAATCATTCATTGCTATTGAAAAAAGTCAACTTGGTCCTCAAATTTCCTGCCATTATGTCTCCTACGTTCCCTGCATATGTAAATTAATATAAACATTTTGAATTTCTTTGCCACAGACAACCCTTATTTGCCCCTTTTTTTTCTTTTTTCTTTTTTTCCTTCTTTCTTTCTTTTCTTTTTTTTTTTTTTCGGTGAATAGCTCTAGTTGGCATTTGGAGTAAATTACAAATTAGTCCCTTTCACTTTGAGAGATTAATTATTTAGTCCCTCTTGGTTTAAAAATTAATTATTTAGTCCTCATATTTTGAAATTTATTTATAATTTATTCCTTTTTACATTTTTAATTTATTTTGATTTTTTTAAGAAATAGAAAAAAATGAAAATTTTGATGATAAAATAAGAGATTTAATGAAATAAAAATAATATTAAATTAAAGATGCTCAACACCGATTAAAAAATTAAATAATAATTTTTTGAAACAAGAGAGGTTGATTAATTTGTTTTTTAAAACTAGAGGGATTAATTTATAATTTACTCTTGCCATTTGTTACATAAACAAGAATCACAACGAAATTGATCCTCTAATAAATATAGGATTTTTTTGTAATTTACATACAAGATGTATATAAATATAATCCCTTAACAGCGAAGTGATTAATCTACTGCTTTAGTAGATTTCTACTCACTAAACAACTTGTCATTTATGCAAAGATAAGTCATTGAAAACGATACAAAGCTACACTTATACTTGTTAAAAGATTCCTTGAAATAATCATCCATGACCATGAGAAAGGAAATTATATCAATTCATGATTCATTTGCGAAAATAAAAAATTCATAATCATAGTTCGATATCATTGTGCATGTAGTTTTCAACTTCCTATTATTTTTAGGGTTTCCGGCCAACCTATATTTTAAGGAAAAATAATTTGTGTATCCACCATTCGGTATTTCATCATTAAATTAATTAATAATCAAATTAAAATTAAATTTTTTATTTTACAATTTATATATATATTTTTTTGTAAATCGCTAAATAGCTAAAATCACATGTCTTAAGCATACAAGGCAATGTCAATAGATAAATCAAGATTTCAATTGTCACGGTTTATAATAAAAACAAATCAATGTGGAAGCGAAACCTTGATTCTTTATTTTTAAAATCATGAGATCTGGAAATTTTATTTCTACTTTTCTTATTTTGACGTATATGTAAACACGACCAATCATATATTAAACTCTAATTTTGACTTCAATAATTCAGATAATTTGAATTCAATAAACATAAATAAAAACTGCACAATCCCAATCTAATTTCAATGGGTCCAAGACAGTACAAGACACGTGAGACACGTTGATGAAATGAGTCCTTGGCTAGTCTTAGATGGACATATTTGACAACGGCATCATAAGATGGATTACCAAAATTTAAATAGCTAAGCACCTGTGTCGTAATCGAAAATTGAGTTTGAAGTTCGGGATACTTTGTCCATGCAGGCTAATGCAGCACATTGTAACCTTCTCCCTTCATCTTTACTGCAATGTTGGAAACTGGTTTCTTGCAAACATAATCTTTATAGATGCTGGTTAGAATAATGGGTCATAGTCTAGAAGAAACTATATATATATATATATATATATATAAAGCGACTAAACTCTCAAAATAATAGAAGGTGCTTCTTAATTACTAATAATAATTAGGATCTTTATACTTGTTTTGATTTGTTCAGTAATCTTTATTATTATTATTATTTCTTCAAACCCTTCTTGGCAAATATTTATCTCTCTCTCTTTTTTCTTTTTTTGATAATATAAATATTATCTATTAACTCCAAAGGGTTGGTATGGTGAAGTAGATTTGTCAATTTTTTTGATTTTTTGAATTCAAATATCAAGAGTATCATCCATAAAATTTTATTAAATTTTTTTTTTAATGTAATAAGTGGATGTAAGAAAAAAATGCTTGCAAACTGATCTGAAAATATATTTATCCTTAAATAAATAAATAAAACACAATATATATTTTTTAAAAAAAGTTGAAAGTATACCAACGATGAATTTACACAAATACATTCCGTTGATTGAATTAGTGATTGAGTAAGCTCATTTGACAATAAGAAATGCTAAGAACAAATCTATCAAATGGAAAATAACATGATGAAATTAGTGTTTATATTTACATGGATAGAGTTTTGGAAAATTAACAAATCAAATTAGCTTGATTTGTTATTATATTTAAGATTCAATTAAATCTGTCAATATATTCTATTTTTCTTCTATTTATTTGTTAATTTTTTGAGCTAGTGATAAATGGAAGAGGGAACTATTAAAAATTTAAGTTACACTGCCTTTGAAACAGAAATGGGCAATTATCATAGAACGGAGGAAATAGGTGTAGAGGACCACACATGTTTTTAAGAAACAAAAACGAAGAAAGAAACAAACATGTACAGTGATCTTCCATAAGATATGGTCGCACATAATCCAAAACATGTTTGTGTAGTCATTGCCTGACTGGTAACATGCACAGGATGCCAACTCCACTGCATATATTCCATAAGCACCCACCCCATATTGTTGACTTAACCAAATCCACTACCCTAAATCCACGAGATCATAGAAAAGAGAGGTTACCTTCTAGTCTCGCAGGTTGTTCTCCTTTCAACGCTAATTAATTACTCCTGTTTTTATATACGTGCGCAACAACCATCAAGATTTGTTTTTCTTTCTTTCCTTTTGCGTTTTTAAGATTTGTGAGCACAAAAATTGAATAATAGAATCATGAAATCCATCAATAAATAATGGCATTTCTTATTAAAAAGGGGGGGGGGGTTGAAGTGGGCATCTCTAAACAAAGTCTAACCCAACTACAGTAATTATATAATGTTTTGGGGGATTGCACCCATGAGTTAATCTAACAAAATCTCCTAATCAAGACAAAACCCCAAGTCAGGAACGGCCATTGAGAATAAAGAAAGAAAGTAGAAAATATAAAAATCTCATAAAGTCTAATTTGATTCTTCGCATCCTTCCAAACCACTCGCTTTAAAATAAGACACTTCCTTCTTTTTTTTTTTTTTCCCTCCTTATTGTAATATAAAAAACTCAGAGTCTTCACGGTTGTCAGAAAAAGAAAAATGAGCCATTGACGACAATTACATAAAAGTAGACGTTTAAAATATTTTATAGTAAATCGACTCTCTTTCTCCAAATCCACTTGTGGTGTTTCGGTTGATTATTACTTACCAAAAGGTCATAGGTTTTGACAATTACGTGCTTAGAGATCATGATTAATTTCGATTATGTTTAAATCCATTATGTTTTCCTTTATTATATCCACAGACCATAATGGGTTTGCTCAATCCAAGAAGTCCATACGATCACACATGCCAACTGATCCTATCAAATGATAATGGGTCAGAAGCATTAGCCACGAAAAAAAGTAATGTATCATTTCATTTGATAAAAAGAATCATAATGCTGTTTTTTTTAACAAGTAAAATTGCAGTT